CCTAACTTTTGCAGTATGAAGTCACCCAGACTGTGAGATGGGAAGCATATCAATATAATAAGAGTTCTGTAGCCTGGTCCTGGTGTGATAATTGGTTTGGACGAGGTTATAAGCATATAATCTAAAATCAATAATGATAACACTGAAGAGATTCCTTCCTTCCCTTTTTATGGCTGCCCATATATGCAGGAAAGAATTAAGACTACTATAAGTATGTCTATATGACTATTAATTTACAATTGCTTTCTTTGTACTAACAGAATTTGTAGTATCTGTAAAACAACTAATCAAAAGCCATGTCCTTAAATCTCTGGGTCTAATTTCCAATAGTGGATTGGTGAAGCCTCACACCCATATCTTTTGTTCCTCTTTTCAAAACACAGGAGTCTCTTCTTGTAAGCAGGCAGATTCTCAAGATAGAAAACTAATATCTAACAATATAAATGTTTCCTTCATCAGTATCATCAGCTCAGATGTTGCCCCCCTCTTTCTGCTTTCTTTTATCACCCCACCCTTTCCAGACCCTCAAATGGAAGAATTTGTTCAGATAAAGTTGTTGTGACCTATAAAATGACTAAGAAAGGAAAAAATTGTAATAATATAATCCAGTATAATGAAGAACAGAGATGAATCTTAACAAGTTTTGAGGAAGGCTATCCTACCTAATCCACAAGAATCTGGATGACTTTTGTATTGTATGAAAGCAAAGACAGAAAACTCTGAACATATGTTGCCACTTAGTGGTCATCTGAATGTTTGCAGCCCAGATATGGGAACTTTTAGAAACTTGGTATTAACACACTTATCAAAAAACTGGAAATAAATAGAAACAATATAAAACTTGAAGACTAATATAACTATGATGTCACAATCATTTCAGAGAGGGGAAGGAATACTGCAGTATATCTGGTATTGCAATGTTCGATTTTTATTTTTTGAAGTGTGATCTACCGTATACTTTAAACAATTTAAATGGCCATCCATTTCACTTCTTTGACTGGAGAATAGAAATTTATATTCAGAAATAAACAAAAATTATGCAATTTATCAAAAAGAAGTATAACCCACAAAGAAGTATAACCCATGTGCTAGAGGTTCAAACAAAATCATTTCATTTTACCAACACTAAAAAGTAAAAACCACAATGTTTGCAATTCCTTTCATGCTAAAGCAGAAAATAACATTCCTATAGTTATTTTTTTAAGTTCAACATGGAACTGAAATAAATTTTAAAAATGGTTAAACACAATTTTCGATTAATACACAAATTAGCCTGCATGTATTGTCTGGATGGGGGGACGCGGTTTCCCTAGAGCCGAAACTAGCACGTATATGCGAGGGGAACCTTTACCTTACTGTCTGGAACCATTTCTCAATTTGGACTTAGAATTTTGTGACAATACACCCTTTTATTACCTTTCGTTCCTGTTTCTTCCTTACAGAAATTGAGTTTTTAAAGCTTCTCAGCCTCTTTCTGTAGGATAAGCCGGGTAAACTGGCTATTCAAGTTGATCATAATGGGCTACAGGATGCCACATCCAGATGCTGCTAAAAGCAAGAGAAAAACCAAACCAAGCAATCACATCAGATTTCCCAGCAAGAGACAAGACTTTTTCCCTCAAGGTTAATTAAGGGTTAATACCATAGATACGACCCTACAGCACGTAGAAAGAGGAAGTCTGGGTAGAATAAAAAGTTTTAGATTGCAATTTGATAGGAAAAGGGCAAGGAAGGATAAAGAGAAACAACCTCTTTAAAAACGTTAATCTGTACTGGAATGTTACACTTCCAATAAGAAAAGAAAGTTAATTTGGCGTATAAGAAAAAATCCGGCCACCAAAGATTTCTTCCAAAAAAATCTTCTCAAAGATTGGTTTTCATTCCCCACGTGATCCAGCAGAGGCTTATGACTGGTTACTTTTTGCGCGTGTTGTGAAGACTTCTTAAGGGCAAGTGGAAGGTGGGACAAACCGTTGGTGAGGTGCTAACTGAGAGGAGGAAAAAAAGCGCCTGACTCCGAAAGTTCCCGCCTACAATGACTCCTGAATTGCGTTGTGGACTTTGATTGGGTTTAGAAATATCAGGGTGTAATTGTATGTGAGTGAGTGACAAAGCTTGGAGCTGTCGCCCTAGGAGTGGTTTTCATCGCCAGGAGTTTCATTTTCTGTTGAAACGATTCGGTTGTGGGCAAGAACGGTATGCGCTTTTTCATTCCCTTTCTGATTGGGATAGGGGAACTCAAGGGGATTTCTTGAGCTGGTCGGAAAGAGGGATCGTTTCGCTGACTAAACCGTGATTCCACGAGAGTTAATGGTGCAGTGTTCTGCGGAGCCGTTCATACATTGCCTTTGTGTAATACCTTTACCCATTTTTCCTTTTTTTTTTTTTTTTTGAGATTAGCACAACACGGTACGCTAAATGCATGACCGAGCTTGCCCAACGTTCTAGACTAAAAGATAGGTTGGCTTTCGTGATCCAGTTTTATCATAGGCGTGTACTCCAGAGGCCTGCCTTAATTTGGGCACCCTGTCAGAATAAGCCACATTGAATACAGTGCTTCTAAAGCGTCCTTAATAGGTGTATGATTTTTCAGCAGAAGGTAGAAGAGTTATTAATTGTATTCCAGCTATTCCTGAAACCCCTATTATACTTGCAGATATGACTTACGACCACAATTGAGCCCAGCATTTCTGTTTCTAAGTTAGATGAATTTTGCCCCATTTTACTATCTTTCTTGCCACAGTTAAGTGAATCATTGTAGTTGATAATTTAGCAATATGGTTGATAAGTGAATTTGACTTCCCCATTGATTTTGCTTGTCCAAAGGTTGCAAAAGATGATCACATGACTTGGGACACAGCAAAAGTCATAAGAATGAACCAGTTGCCAAGCATCTGAATTGTGATCATGTGACCGTGAAGATGCTGCAAGTGTGAAAAACAGTCATGTCACTTTTTTTCAGTTGTAACTTCAAACAATCAATAAATTATTGAGAAGTACCTGTACTTTATTGTGTAATTATGTGTAGGATTGCATTATAAAATGTTACTCTTTTCAAAATGATAATTCCTGTATTAAAACACTTTTTGTCTTAATGTGTGCATTTTTCTGCATTTAGGAATTTCCTTTTCAAAGTGAATGGTGTTTACGTGGACAAATGATTAACTAATATGGCCTGTAGAAGAGAAGGAATTCAAGAACAGCTTCTCTCTTCCATCATTTCAACTATAAATTCTCATAAGTCTCCAGTGTGTGCCAGTCAAGTTCATAGAATATGTATGGTGTCTGACTTTTTTTATCCAAACATGGGTGGAGTGGAAAGCCATATTTACCAGTTGTCACAGTGCCTAATTGAAAGAGGACACAAAGTTATTGTAGTCACCCATGCTTATGATGATCGTAAAGGCATTCGATACCTCACCAACGGACTAAAAGTCTACTATTTACCATTAACAGTAATGTATAACCAATCTACAGCCACTACCCTTTTTCACAGTCTGCCTCTGCTCAGGTACATATTTATTCGAGAAAGAATCACCATTGTCCATGCACATAGTTCATTTTCTTCTATGGCTCATGATGCACTGTTTCATGCTAAGACAATGCAGCTACGGACAATTTTTACAGATCATTCACTTTTTGGATTTGCTGATGTCAGTTCAGTGCTTACAAATAAACTCTTGACTGTATCACTATGTGATACAAACCACATAATATGTGTTTCTTACACAAGCAAAGAGAATACTGTATTAAGAGCAGCACTTAATCCAGAAATAGTTTCTGTCATCCCTAATGCTGTTGATCCTACTGACTTCACTCCAGATGCATCTAAACGTGACAAGAACACAATAACTATTGTTGTGGTTAGCAGACTTGTATATAGAAAAGGTAATAAGGTTGGAAGGGTAAGATGTATTTAAATGTTTTTTTTTAATGTGAATGGATCAGAAATTACTGATTTTACATTTTAAATATAATTAAATATTGTGCATGACATAAGGGATGATTTTTTTAAAACCCTAAGATGTTTCTGTCTTCTCTGAACTTGATTTTAAACCCATTACAGATGTAATTTAATTCTGGATTAATATGTAGTGTGACATGGATTGAATCTATAAACTGGATAAACTGTAAACAATTTAAGGGAGAGGAAGGGAGGAAAGAGATGGTGTTACTTTGCATGTCTTTAAATTTTAAGCAAAGGTCTTAAATGTAGTTTAAATATAAGAAATGGCAGCATCTTGCTGAATTGTAAATCTGCAGTAATAGCTGTAAAAAATGAAGGCTAAACTGGTTTCTAACTTATTTATAAATTAGAAATACTGTAAATATCTAGTATATGGGCATTCCTGTACCAAAAACACAATGAGAAATATATGTTTAATGGAGTTTTTTTCATAAAAAAGATTGCTTCAGTCAAAAATTTCTACAGGCATATTTTTCAAGATTGGTGTAACAGGTTTTGAATGAGTACCCTATTCTTTTAGAGATTTTATTTTGGGACCAAGAAAATCTTCACTGAGTAATACAATTTACTAGATAATCTTGCACCAATGCATTTCTCAAGCTAATCTTTTCTGTTAGCTTGTGATTGAAAATTAGTGGAAAAGATATCTGTAGATGTATATGACTGAATGTTCTTCAAGAATGTACTCTCTTGATATACCAGTGTTATTTTCCAAAAATGGCTAGTGCTAGATCAGAATCTGAATTAATTGAATATAATAAAAATTAAGATTAAATTAATTAAAAATGATGAACAATTATTCCTTGTATATTATATTTTCCTTGCTATTGCATTAAAATTAAAGTTTAGTGACAATGTTCAGGGGAGCTGTGGTCATATAACAGTGATTACCAACCTATGGTCTGTGAAGGCTTGAAGAAATGTTATGATTTAAATCTTGAGTTAAGTCTTTGTGCTCAATGGCCATGGTCTGTGGCCACAAAATGTTATTTAAAGGGAGTCTGTGGTTAAAAAAAAAAAAGGTTGAGAACAACTGACACATAATGTTTCACATTGTGGTGGATTGGGATTGGCAACATGATATCCCAAATAATTAAAAGGTGACCACTGACTTCCAAAATTAAAATAATCTTTTTGCATGGCATTCTTGATGTTCAGAACATTTTGAAGTGTTTAAATAATAAATGCTTTATTTCTTTTTAAATATAAGGCATAGCGGCATTTTCACTTTAAAGATTGCCTGCCATTAATCTGGAGCTTTACAGTTTTTATTTTATTCTAAATGAAATGAAGAATGTTATTGAAAATAAGATTACTGTTTATAAGAAGAGTAGGTTGTATATACCCTTGAACTCAAAATTTTGCTCATATTTTGTTACAGTTCAGCGGTTCACTATGTTACTTGACTCAATTTTATGACTTTTTTTATGATAGTTATAAAGCAAACCATTCGGTCATTAAGCAAATCATGTAGTCTTTAAGCAAAATCAGCATATCTAATTAGCATTGTATGCTGGAAAGCAGCTAGAACAGGGCTGAATGTGTGACACGCTGGCCACACCCACGCCTGGTTTAGTGAAGGGGAAAAAAGTTCTGATATGTCACGTGATGCTGCCATGATGCCGTGAATTTGACACCCCTGAGCTAGAAGTTCTCATATTACAGTCTTATGACACTAGGATATTGCAACTGTTCATAATTGCAAGCTGGTTGCCAAGCTGAAAATGCAATCACAATTGCAAGGGGTAGTGGTAATATGAGAGTCATAATTTTCAGCAACGGTTGTAAGTATCTTTTTCAAAGTCTGTCATAATTTTGAATGGAAATTGTACAAATGGTCATTAAGCAATGACCACATGTAATGTGTAACAGAAAAATAAAACTATACGAGGTTGGTCAGCAGCATATAGAAAATCTTTTGAAATTCTGTCCTGGAAGATCATTTATAATCATGCAATATTAATATAATACAGGCAAAATTGTACTTTGGTTTTGAAATTCTGAAAGTTAAGCAGTGGTGAAATGATTAATAAAAAAGATTATTGCTTAATAAATCATTTTATATAAAACAATAAATATTTTTCCTTTAGGTATTGATTTACTTAGTGGTATAATTCCTGAGCTATGTCAGAAGTATCCAGATTTACATTTCTTAGTTGGAGGAGAAGGACCAAAAAGAATTGTATTAGAAGAAGTACGGGAAAGATATCAATTACATGAAAGGTATGTTTTCTGCATTGCATTTAATATAGCCAAATTATCAAAAGATTTAGCAGAGAAATGAAGAAAGGAATAGGATGATGATTTTACACAATAATGGTTTGTTTACACATGCATACCTATCATGTTATTCTGTTTGAAAAGTGCAGAAAAGATATAAGAACTAGTAAGTAAAAAAAAGGGACAGAAAATAAATTATAGCTAAATCTAAGTTTATATCAACTGCATTTATTGTATGCCTTTCTGTGATTTCATACTCAGCTTGAAAATATATTTTAGTTTTCTGCAATAATGCTGCCCTGAGATTATAACCTTGATTGTGGAAATTTTAAATAAGCTAGTAACGTATTTGATTGTTTTATATATTTATATTTCTTTGGAGATGTTGCAGTGTTTTCTGTGCATAAACCTCTCTGCTCATTGGTGGCAGTATATATCAAGTCTTAATGGAAAAAGTAGACAAATGAATTGGATCATCCTTAAATACCCTGGCTTTTGTTATTCATAAGCTACTTTTGAATTATTTTCTTATGATTATTTGGAACAGTTTTATCATGTCATGTTTCTTTTCTTAGATCCTTATAAATTATCTTCATGTTCAGGAGGATATCTTCTGAATACAGGTAGTCCCCGACTTACAACAGCGATGAGCCCAACATTTCTGTGGCTAAGTAAGACATTTGTTAAGTGAGTGTTGCCCCATTTTATGACCTTTCTTGCCATAGTTAAGTGAATCACTGCAGTTGATAAGTTACCGTGTTTCTCCAACAATACGGCCTCCACCAATAGGAAGCCCCACCATGTTTTATTGGCATAAAATCAAATTAAGCCCCTCCCCCCAAATTAAGCCCCATATTAAACATGCGAAATGTGGGGGGAGAGCGGGGGGGGGCCTTGCCGTTAGTACTTTTGTTGCATGCCCGGATATGGTGCTGCCTGCGTTGGTGGGGCACTTCATATCGGGAGACCTTCCACCATTGCTTCTCCCTTGCTGCCCCTTCTCCCTTGCTGCCGCGGCGTTTGGCGCAGCCACGTGCGGCCA